CGCAAGCCGTCTCGCTCACTCCCACCCGCCCTCCCAACACATACGCAGCACCCGAGCCTGGCCCGAGCCGCAGCATATTCAGCAGTCGTCTTTGGATGGGCAGCTCAGGGGGGCGAATCCGCCGCCGCCGCCGCCTCCACCGCCGCCGCTGCCGCCCGCCGCCGCCGCCGCCGCGCCGCCGCCGCCGCCGCCGCTGTCCGCCGCCCGCCGCGCCGCCCGCCGCTACCGTCCGCCGCCGCCGCCGCCGCCGCCTCGTCGCCCCCGCTGCCGCCGCCGCCGCCACCGCCGCCGCCGCCGCCGCCGCCGCCCCCGCCGCCGCCACCGCCACCGCCGCCGCCACCGCGGCAGCCGCCGCAGCCGCTGCCCCAGCTGCCGCAGCCGCCGCCGCCGCCGCCAAGTGTACTCCGTTTTGTTTTTGTTGACAGGGATGGTGGGGGGAGGCCGCATCGGGTTCGCCGCGCCTGCTCCGAATTTGGAGGCAGAGTGTGCTTTGCATTGTTTTTTTGCCAGGGATGGTTTCGTGACCGATGTGTGTCAACGTCGTTCGCAACCGATCGCTCCGATCGGTCGCCACCGACCGCGAGTGAAACTATTCTAGTTTCCAGTGATCTACGTCGGTTGTTTTGCCCCCTTCTCGTCCTCTTCCAACTATCCTTATTCGAGCCCTCTCCGTCTTCCCCCGTGAGCAGACGCGAATGAGAGAATCGCCGTCAGACCCCGTGAAGTTCGCGCGGATCCGCGTTTGTTTCGGTGGATCCGATTTCCGTGCGGATCCGATTTCCGTCCGCGCGGATCCGATTTCGGTTTTGTTGCATCCGTGTTCGGTCTTTTCTTTCTTTCTTTTGTTTGTTACGACGGACCCGATTTTCACCCCGCTTTGAATTGATAGTATGAAGTTGAAACAGGCAACCAGAAGAAATCGGATCCGCGGATCCCGGAACCCGCCCGTGAGAAGATTATATGGGGGAAGGGGTTCGGTCATTAGCTTCCAACTCATCGTCGCCATTTGCACCTGAAGAGGAACAGTGTTCGTCCTGCGTAAGTATGGTGAGCCTCAGGACATCCTCCCACTCTGAAACCGAGCCAGTCGACGGGGATCACATCCGAAAGGTTCCATCCCACCGCCCATGAAAGGACATCCAATTTGTTTACCTTGCCACGTGGGCGTTTTGTCGCCGACGCTGCAGACTCTGCGGCGGGACTGGGACGCAGCGCACATCGCGCGCGAATTGTCAAACTGCCGTTCTTACGCCAGCACCGCTTAGTGGGGGCGTCGCGTATCTTTCGCTCGACGAGCCGTCGGAAGTGAGAGTGGGGCCGCGCGCGAGCGGGCGGAATGTCGCGCTCGCCCGATCGCCACACAGATGTCGCCTGAAGATGGTGTTCCCGCTCAGAGCCCGGCGCAGACTTCTCGCTCGTCAGATCTTCGGGTTTGGAAGCGGGGCCGCGCTCTAGCGAGCGACACGTTGTTCTCGCCCAAGCGCTGCGCAGGTTTCATCTGAAAGTTGTGGAGGCCAAGGCGCAGATGAGCTTCGGGCATCCCCATGGTGAAACGCGTATTGGTCGGCCGCGCGGCAAAGATTGTCACGAGCAGTTTTTGGTGTCTCTTTGTTTCTGTTCCGCTTGTCATTGCATGGCCAAGGTTCTCTACACGAGTTTGCCTACAGTCGGGGCCTTGAAGAAGGAACGCTTTTCGTTGGGGAGGGGCTCGATGCTCCTTGACTGTTGTACAGTTTGCCTCGGGTTTCCCTTAGGTTTTTGCATGGTAGATCGAAGTTCAACTCATGGAAAAGAGGGGCCTTGTTCCTTAGTTTGGGCTCCTTAGGTCAACGCCTCGACTGTATTGCAGGTCGGCTTGTGTGGCGTTCCGGGTCTGCGCCTGGCGGCTGCCGGACACGCCCCCGGCGACGAGAACCTCCATCTCGAGCGGCACAGGGCGGCTTCTTCGCGCGCCTGCAGCGCACCCGCCTTCTCACGGGCCACGGCATGCTGCGCGAGCTTGCCCGTCGCAGGTCCGTTGGCGAGGCCTTCCTGGTTCGCCTGGCGACCTCACCCATCGGTCATTGACAGTAGGCATTTCTGGATTCCCAGATTCCAATCTACTTTGAGCGCCTTCCTACTTCAAGAATCGAGTGGTGTTCCCTCTTCCCTCCTCTTCAGGAGGCGGGCGGAAACCCAATCTATGTCCAACGCCTTCCTACTTCATGTTTCTACCTACTTCTTCCGACCGATGGGTACGATTCGCCCTGCAGCTGCCGCGTCGCTGCTGGTGCAATTGCAATCCGAGGCCCGGAGAGGCCCGCGCCCTTCTTCGATTGAGCCCTGCGTGTTCTCCTGTCGCACTTGTTTTCGCACAGTTTGCCGACGCGCCGTCCAGGCGCGGCTTCTTTCATGCGTTCGTTTCTGGGTTGCACCTCTTCCACATGATCTCCCCGGAGGGCTCCGAAGGAGGCCTCCCTCGAGATCCCCCCAAAAGGTCTCCAGAGGACCGCGGCGGAGGGCCCCAGAGGCCCCGGGAGGCCTCTGGAGGCCCAAGAGAGGGCCAGATAGACGCGCAAACATCTCAATCCTCGATCCTCGTCCCTCTCTTTCGGTAGCAACTGATGAGAGCCTTGCGTGTCCTTGCGACTCCGCCTTTAGACTGCATTCGCGCGCGCTGGCGTCTGATAGTCGATGGCGAAGCGTCGATCCGCGTCGGGCCGCGTCGATCCGCAGGAAGCAGCGCCAGATGGCATCGGAGGTCCCCGTGAGCTGTCACCGGCAGTTCAGGGCCCCTCTGCCCCCAATCCTCCGAATAGGGGATCGACTACAGAATTGATTTACCCAAGAGTTGATTTTCCCGTCGCACGCATGAGGAACATACATCAAAGAGTCCGGTAGACCTACGGGGCAAAGCATTGTGGGCTCATGTGTTCCGCGCAGCTTCGACGGGGCCTCAAGTTTGGGGCAAGTCGATGCTGCAGTCGAGCCCCTGCCCGAATCCTACCTCGCAGCCCCGGAGAGCAGCCAGGGGACCCCCACGGCCTCCCCGCCCCGAGCCCGAGGCCCCCGCCGGCGCCCGCGGGCCGGCGCGGCCGCGGGCGGCCGCGCCGGAGCGCCGCGGGAGCCCCGCCGCGGGCGTCCGCGCTTTTCCCGCCGCGTCTGGGGTCTGGCCGGGCCAGCACGCCGCGGGCTCCCTGCGGCCCTGTCGTGCTAAAACAGGGCTGGGATGGGGATAAAAACACGCTCTGGAGCGGCCGCGGCGCCCCATACATCCTCCAAAGCCGCCGATTCTCAGAGATTTCGAGGTATCCCGATCCGAGTTTGTCCCGATCTGCGCGTCGTTTTACGTGCTGCTCCTCCGTGGCCCTCCCGGGCCCCCCCTCGCTGCCCGTCGGCGGCGGCGGCGGGTGGCGATATCGCGGCTCCGAAGGCGGCGCCTGCCTGGGAGCGCTTCACCCCGATGCCTTAGGTGTGCACTCGCGCAGGCGGGATCGAGGCACGCATATATGGTCCAGGGCTTGGCCCCCCCCCCCCCCTGCTGATGCCATTGGCCCCCCCCCCCCCCGCGCGATGGTCCCCCCCGCCCCCCCCTGTGGGCGTGGCGTGGTGCTGCGCTGCGGTGCCCCCCTCCCCCCCCTGTGGATGTGGTGAGGTGCTGTGGTGGTTCAGAGGTGGGCGTGGCGTGGTGCTGCGCTGCGGTGCCCCCCCCCCTGTGGATGTGGTGCGGTGCTGTGGTGGTTCAGAGGTCGTCGTCGTCCTCGTCGTCGTCGTCGTCCTCGTCGTCCTCGTCGTCCTCGTCGTCCTCGTTGTCGTCGTCGTCGTCGTCATCGTCGTCGTCGCCGTCGTCATCGTCGTCATCGTCGTCGTCGCCGCCGCCGCCGGCGTCGTCGCCGCCGCAGCCGTCGTCGTCGTCGTCGTGGTCGTCGTCATCGTCGTCGTCGTCGTCGTAGTCGTCGCCGTCGCCGTCGTCGCCGTCGTCGTCGTCGTCGTCGTCGTCGCGTCGTCGCCGTCGTCGTCGTCGTCGTCGTCGTCGTCGTCGTCGACCATGGGACCATGCCATCTGGGGGGGGGGGGCCGAGGAATCCTGGGACCATACCATCTGGGGGGGAGGGGGGGGGGCCCGTGGGCCCGGAGCCCGGGATCATATATGCTGGTTTGATTTTCCTCCGCGCCTCGCTCCGGCGCTGGGTCGGCTGCCGGATGGTGGCGACGATGCCCGTGCCCCCCCCCCTCTCTCCACCCGCCCTCTGGCGGAGGCGGTGATGAGCAGCGACGGTGGCGGCGGCGGTCCAGGGTCACCCTCCACGCAGGGTCGCGGAGGCAGCCGGGGTCCGCGGTCTGGGCCAGATGGCCGTCTTTCTGCAAGCCTTCCATCCTTTCCCTCCCCTAGCTCCTCCTCCTCCTACTCCTCCTCCTCCTCGCCGTCGCCGTCGCCGCCTCCTCTTTCTCATCCGCCCATCCCGCCCCAGAGTCATCCTGAGGATCCTGCCACTCCTCCTTCCGCTCTGTTCCCTCCTCCTCATCCGCTCCGCCCCCCTCTGCGTTCGCCCCCCTTGCCCCCCCTCGTTCTTACCCTTCTCTGGCTGCTCCCTCGTCCAAGTGCTCTTCGGGCCAGCGCAAGGAGCTGGTACGATCGTTAGGAATATGTTACCCGATGTGCTTGTTAGGATTATTCTGGGTTGTCGATGGGAGACCACGGAGGAAGACGAGAGATCGCAATTACAGGTGATTTCTCATAGCACTGTCAAGTCTGACGTGCCATGGGCTGCAGGATGCGCAGAACGTGCACCGGGTGGCGCTGACACGGATCCAGCCTGTTACAGCTCTGATCGCGAGCCGCATTGTACGTGTTACGTGTGCAAGCAGGTGCGCCATTGATGCGGTTTGCACTCCATGCTTCCAAGCGGAAGCCTTCATGCAAGTCGTCTCTGCATTTGTGTATGATAGGCTGTGTATGATTGGCGTGTGATGCCGTGCGCTCCGAGCGTTTGTGTTTGCATCCGGCCACGGCCATGCCAGGAGCTGCAGACAACAACCGTGCGAGGATGCCGCTTGCTTTCTTCCTTCCGCGGCTGCTGTGCCTCTGCATCTTCGTCTGCACCCGTCTATCAGGAACGATCCCCCGAGCCTGCTCCGGAGTTGCCAGCTACTGTCAAGAGGAAAAGAAACACAGGCACAATTAATCCTCGAGTTCCCAGAAAATATAAGAACATATGGGACGTGAGCGGGAAGACAGAAACCCAGAATATATAAGAAGATATGGGGGGAGATGATGTTATTTGTGTGTGTGTGTGTGTGTGTGTGTGTTTCGTATCCTTGGGCCCCTTCACTGGTTTCGCTTGTCTGCCCAGTATTGCCTGCCCTAAAACTGGGCTAGGATCGGGATAAATCGCTCCAGAGCGTTCCGGAGCGCTCTCAGAGCGCTCCCGAGCGCTCTGGAGCGGCCGCGGCGCCCAATACATCCTCCGAACCCGCCGATTCTCAGAGATTTCGAGGTATCCCGATCTGATTTTGTCCCGATCTTCGCGTCGTTTCAAGTGTTGCTCCGACCCCGTCCAGGCCGCTCTCTGCCCAGGCCAGGTGCCGGGTGCCGGGCGCGGGGCCCCCTGCCGCCCCTGCCGAGAGCACGGCGGAGAGAGGGGTGGGCGGAGGCTGCAGGCCTCCCGGGGGTGGGGGTCCGAGTGGGGCTCCGCACTGCAGGTGCAGCGCCGCGGGAGCCCCGCCGCGGGCCTGCGCTTTTCCCGCCGCGTTTGGGGTCGAGCCGGGCCAGCACGCCGCGGGATCCCCGCGGCCCTGTGGTGCTGCTCCTCCGTGGCCCTCCCGGGCCCCCCTTGCTGCCCTAAAACGACGCGAAGATCGGGACAAAATCGGATCGGGACAACTCGAAATCTCTGAGAATCGGCGGGTTTGGAGGATGTATTGGGCGCTCGGGAACCGCTCCAGAGCGCTCGGGAGCGCTCTGAGAGCGCTCCGGAACGCTCTGGAGCGATTCGTCCCGATCCTAGCCCTGTTGCAGGTCCGAGTAAGGCTCCGCACTGCAGGTGCAGCGACGACGCGGCTCGATGCGGAGCCGCAGATTTCTCCATGCCGATCGCACAAAACGACGCGAAGATCGGGACGGGACAAAATCGGATCGGGATACCTCGAAATCTCTGAGAATCGGCGGGCTTGGAGGAGGTATTGGGCGCCACGGCCGCTCCAGAGCGTTCCGGAACGCTCTGAGAGCGCTCTGGAACGCTCTGGAGCGATTTATTCCGATCCTAGCCCTGTTGCAGGTCCGAGTGGGGCTCCACACTGCGGGTGCAGCGACGACGCGGCTCGATGCGGAGCCGTAGATTTCCCCATGCCGATCGCGTAAAACGACGCGAAGATCGGGACAAAATCGGATCGGGATAATTCGAAATCTCTTAGAATCGGCGGGTTCGGAGGATGTATTGGGCGCCGCGGCCGCTCCAGAGCGTTCCGGAACGCTCTGAGAGCGCTCCGGAACGCTTTGGAGCGATTTATCCCGATCCTAGCCCTGTTGCAGTGCAGGTCCGAGTGGGGCTCCGCACTGCGGGTGCAGCGACGACGCGGCTCGATGCGGAGCCGTAGATTTCCCCATGCCGATCGCGCCACTGGGTCACCAACGTCGCGGACGCATCGCCGGTGTATCGCCGATGGATCGCCGATGCATCGGCGATGCATCGGCGATGCACGGGCGATGCGGCGCAATCCTCCGACCCCATCGGCTCGGACGCCATCCAGGAGGCCTCCAGGAGGAGCGTGGAGGGAAGTATGAGGAGGTAGGGGGACATGGCCAGGGAACTCCAGCAGGACGCCCCAGGATGGCGGGGCCTCGGCGTCTTTTGTTCTGCTCATGGTTTTGCATGTTGTGGTTGTGGACTGCTTCGGTTAACCCAGTTTGTCCTTGAGATGTGGGGGGGGGGACGGAGCAAAGGGCAACATTCTGGCGGGATAAGCCCAGGGTGGGATGCATCGACGACGGGGGCCCGATAGCCCACCCCGCCCCTTTGTCCAATGCCCCCACTTTCTTGGAAAGGACTCGCCATCCACCTCGTGCAGCTCAGGACAATTTGAAAGCCGAGTATACACGGCGCCAGGGCGGGATCCTCTTTTTGAAACGACCCGCCCTCTATCTGTTCTTTGGTTGTGTGAAACGATGGTGTGCGGCGCCTGCACAGCGGAAGCCACATTGTGAAAACTGCTTGTGGTCCACGCGTCAACGCGATCTGAGTTCATTTGCTTTTCGAGGCCTCCTGCGGCGACGAGTACGGTGACGGAGATGATGTGGATGGTGTTGCTGGTGGTGGCGACGGCGAGACTGGGAGCGCTTGGAGAGGGATTGTCGTTGTGTTGCCTTTTGTGCCCATGGGGCTCTTCGGGGCCACGGGTCGGGTGGATGTCGGAGGTCCGCTGATGCGCCCCGAAGGCAGTTCTTGATCTGGGATGGAGAGAGTCGGGTCGGATGGATGCGCACCGAGCTTTGCCTGTTGCATCAGGCGGTGGGGCTTGGGTCGGACGGATGCGCACCGAGTAATGCGTAGTACGTCGGAGGATGAAGGTTGGGTCGAGTGGACGTACACCACAGTATACAGTATACCATGCGTCTGATGGTGACTGTTGTGTCGGACGGATGTGCGCCGAAGACTTACTTGCATCGAATGGAAAGAGTTGGGTCGGATGGCTGTGAGCCGACTGGTTGTTGAGTTCGGATGGTGAGGGTTTGATCGTAGGCGTGTGGGCAGAATTCCTTGTTTTTTTTGTCATAGGATGGTGGAGGTTGGGTCGGGTGGATGTGCACCGAATGATATCTATTGCTCAGGAGTGAGAGGGTTGGATCGTATGCGTGTGATCGGCGCTGAGACGAGAGCCACATTCTCAAACAAAGCCGCCCTCCATCCTTGAAGTTGTTGCAAGTTTTCCAGACGAGTGCACGCGGCGTTCAGCTAAGAGCCACAATCTGAAAACGTAACGGTCTCTATCCTTGAATTTGCTACAAGTGCTTGAGTGCGTGCGGCGCTAAGGCGAGTACCATTTTTTGAACACCTCCCAGGCTCCATCCTTGAATCTGCTGCGAATTCCAATGTTCAGTGCCAGATTTGGCGAGGAAGTCTCCTGCGAAACACCCGGCTCAGCCTACGGACGCGCCCAGTGGTGCGACAAGAAGGAGTTTTCAATAAAGCAATGGAGTGGCAGCGGCGGTGGCAGAGCAGAGCGACCGGTCAACAAGCATATTCGCCAGCTTCATGGGCGTCTTGCAGGTGCCGGGCACCGACGAGGCAGTCGCCGCTTTCAGGGCCAAATTTCCGAAGGCGCGGGGGCCAGTCCCAAGTGTGCCTTCCCGTCATCGTTTTTGGTTCTCTTGCTCCTCCCACGCTCCTCGTCATGGCCTCTGCGGGCCCACGAGGCCCTAATTAGGTGTCCGTCGCATCTCCTTCGTCAGCATTCTGCTCATCGTCATTTTCTGCACCGTCCACCCTTCACCATCCTGATCCCTGATCGCCCGCCACTTCTCGCTACTTCCTCATCATCCCTTTCTCCTCGATGACCTCTGCCCTCTGCTCGCTCATCGATATTTCTCGTCCACTTCGTCCTCCTCTTACTTCTTTCATCCTCCTTTTTTCTTTCTCTTGCCAACACCCTTGAAAAATCTATTCCGGAGGACTCTGGGACTCAGGAGGGCTCCTGGAAAGTCGTCGAGTTCCTTGTTCTCTTCCTTTGCCCCTCCTCTCCATCCTCATTCTGCTTCCCAGACCACTCCTTATTACTTACCCTGCGTCCCATCCATCAAGTCCTCCGTATTATGATGTTCCTTCCCCTGTCATCGTATTTTTTTTTCCTCTCCTCTTCAACTCCCTCCTGCTCCTTCTCTTGTCTCCCCCTGCAACAGCGACAGTCACGTGCGTAATATCGACGCCGACCAGAAGCAGCGCAAACAAACCCAGTTCAACGCTGGGCTAAGATAATCACAGCGCGCGAAAGGGAGAGAGAGAGAGAGAGAGGAAGAGATAGAGAACGAGAGAGAGAGGCTGAACTCCTTCCTCCCTGCCTGGCCGATTGCTTGTGGTCGGCAGCGGCCATGCTGGGGGAGTGAGGGCCATCATCCTCCAATTCCTCCGCCGCTCCCGCGTCAGGTCCACCTCCACCCCGGGGTAGGAGCAGTCGGCACGAATATCCCCCTCCTGAGCCCAGGCCTATCCAAGCCAGGCCTGACATGCGTAGTGGGCCAGTTCGGTCTCTGTGCCTTGCATACAAGAGAAATCCGAGCTTCAACGGGAGCTCTGGCCAGAAAATGACCCCCTGGGGCGACCACACAGCTTGCCGCCCGAACTCCCTAGCCATGCTGCTAGGAAACTCCATGCCTGGGCTCAGCCAAGCCAGGCATTCCGAGGCCCCTCTCCGGAGAGAAAAACAGCAGTATTGGCCCGATGTGAGTTGCGAAGGGTTCGTCGTCACGCCCTGCCCCTCCGCGGCCTAGCCGATCAGACGATCGAGTTGGCAGCCATGCCGTGCGAAGTAGGGGAACACCAGAGCCAGGACCCCTCCCCCCGAGGCTGGTCCGACTCCACCCTGTCGCGGGCGCAGTCGGCACGAACCTCTTTCCAGAGCCTGGTGGTGAAGATGCCTGGCACTCATGTGTGCATCATCTCTGGGCTTCTAGCAAACGCTGCCAGCTCCTCATCCACCTCCTAGCCCCGCCGAGTATGGTCCAACCCCACCCTGGGGTGGGCGCAGTCGGCACGAACCTCCTTCCAGAGCCTGTCGGCAAACAGGCCTTGCGCTCATGAGTGCATCAGCTCTGCGTTCCGAGGAGAAGCTGCAGTCGGCGTTACCCCAACATACTTCTACTTTATGTGCGTCGCCCCCCCCCCCCCCCCCCCAGGGGCGACGCGCGCACCGACCGAAATCTTATAGTACATGCGTCGTGGCGGGCGCTTTCTGGCCACACTGCTGGGGAAACGCTCTGCTGCAAGGTGTGCCAGATGCTCGGGCAGGACGCGCGCCTCCAGGGTGGACACTTGCCTACCTGCGCGAGAGGTCGCCCCGGGGCCAGGAAAAGGAGAAAACAGAAGGGGGGAGGGAAAAGAGAAAATAAGGGAACGAAACATGACACGAACACACAAACTCGGAGGTCCGCGCGGATTTCTCGGCTCGGCGCTGGACGCCCCCTCCCTGGCGCGCTCCGCGCGCCAGGGGCGGCGCCGGAGGCGCCACCAGGGGGTGTCCAGCGCGGATCCGAGGAATCCGCGCGGACCTCCGAGTTCGTATGCTTATGCCATGTTTCGATCCCCTATTCCCTCCTCTCCCTCCCCCTTCTGCTTTCTCCTTCTCCTGGCCCCGGGGCGACCCCTCGCGCAGGTAGACAGGTGTCCACCCTGGAGGCGCGCGCCCTGCCCGAGCATCCGGCACACCTTGTAGCAGAGCAGCAGCAGCAGCAGCAGCAGCAGCAGCAGCAGCAGCAGTAGCAGCAGGCAGTCTAGGCGCGGCTCCGGCCGGCCTCGCAGCGCGCTTCTCGGCCCCGCTGGCGACGCGCGCGCTCCCCGCGCGGCCGAAGCTGTGCCGACGCCCCGCAGCCGCCGCCGGCGCGCCCCTGCGCGCCCCTGTGCGGTGTCAGTGGCCGGTCGCCGCAAGGCTCGAGGGCAGCAGGCCGAGGCGCAAGCATGGGGGGGGAGCAACGTCCCCCTCCGCCTCCTTCTCCTTCTCCTCCTCCTCCTCCCCCTCCTCCTCCTCCCTCCTCCTCCTCCTCCTCCTCCTCCTCCTCCTCCTCCTCCTCCTCCTCCTCCTCCTCCTCCCCTCCTCCCCTCCGTAGCCATTTTGGCTCAAGATGCCTTTCGTGCGGGCGGAGCCCGCATTGGCCGAACTGGATACCGCTAGTCCGCGGCAGTGCCAGGGTGCTTGCGCCCGACATCCTCTCTGCGAGGACTGGTCCGCCCCAGTCCATCGCCTGCCCCCTTCACTGGGAGAGCAGCTTCCCTCGCACCAGCAATGGGAGGCGGCGGCAAGAAGGGCGGCGCTCGCGCGGCTCCTGCGGCAGGGGCCAAGACGACGTACATCACATGCACTTCCTGCAGGTTCCGCTGGAATTTCAAGAACAACCACTGGTGCTACCAGTGCGGAGGCGCCATGGTGCCGAGCCCCTCGGAGGACAAGCGCCCCCGCGGCCAGTGGGTTTGGGGCCCACCGCAGGCTGTCGCAACGCCTCCTCCTGAGGCAGAGCCAGCGGCAGATGCCCCTGCGGCTCCTCCCTGGGCTCAAGCAGGAGGCAAGGGCGCCAAGGGGCCACCTTTGCCACGGCCCGCACCGAAGGCCCAGGCCGTCCAGCGTCGGCCATGGGTCTACCAGCAGGCGGGCTGGGTTCCTCATGGCGGCCGTGAAGGGCAGCAGCAGCAGCAGCAGCAGCAGCAGCCTGCTCATGACGCTGACCCCTTCGAGTTCTTCGAGAAGGAGCTCGGCTCGGACTGCGACGAGCTTCTCAAGCTCAAGGCGGCAGTGCAGGCCAAGAAGGAGGCGCAGGCAGCTGCTGCTGGCGCGGGTGCCCCGCAGAAGGCGCCACTCCTTGAGGAGGAAGTGCGGGCCAAAGGCGTGGCTTGCAGGAGGGCGCTGGCATGGCTTGAGACCTGCTCGGCCCGCGTTCTGGAGGGCCAGCAGTGGCTCGCCGACGCCCAGGCCGCAGAGGACGAGGCGGCCGCCAGCGCCCATGCGGCGCAGCAGGACTGGGAGGCGGCCTGCGCCAAGCAGGTCAAGGCCTCGGCGCCGCCGTCAGCGGCGCCACCCTCTTCTTCGGCGATCAACCTTTCGACGCTCGTCGACGAGGGCTCGCTTCAGATCGTGGACGGGCCGCTGTTTGATCTCTCGGGCCTGGAGCTCGACGAGCAGGCACGCGTAACGCAGATCGGGGGGCGCCACGCCGAGTTTTGTCGGCATCCTGTTTCGGCGGGCGTCCCTGGCCCTATCCAGTCGACTTCTTCCTCGACTCGGACGAGGAGCGCGCTTTTGGAAGCGATTCAACTACAGCACCGTTGGAGGTGAGCAGTTCGCTTACTGCGGCTCAAGGCTCGGCGGCACGTGCACCGCAGGCAAGACGTTCATCGCGTTCTGCGTCGCGCGGAGCTACGCCATTTCCGAGTGTGAGGATTTCGGCCACTCGTACTTCTTCGGGTGCATCGGGTCAAGCCTCGCTGACGGGTGCGCTTGGCGGGCTGGCGTATGCTGCCCTTAATGACAGCCCTCCCCCGAGGGCTGCGCCTCGCGCATCTACGGGACCGCAGGCCTCTGTCCCTTCAGTTACGACGGCGCACCTGCACGACGCTGAGCTTGATCCGTTCGAGGATCTGGAGTTTGAGGAGGGCAACGAGCGTTTCCACCAGGACTCGCCGTTCGAGGCGGAGGGGGGCCCCGCTTCACCTGGCGTCACCGCCAGGCCCTCCGAGGCTAGGGCGGACCAGGCTGCCGCTTGCGGCGGCCCTGCGGGCCTGGAGGCTGGCCTCAGCGCACCAGCAGCGCAGGCTTTGGCCGCCCCAGCCCCCTCCAAGCTCATATCCGACGAGAAAGATTTTTCGATCCTTTACGGTAACATCACTGAGTGGGGGCCTCAAGCGCAGCGTTATGTCAACACAGCCCCTTACTCTGTGTTTTGTCTGGTGGAGACCCATGTCACCGCCGCCACGTCCCACTCCAAGACGGAGATCGAACTGGACAAAGACGGTTGGAAGGTCTGCGCCACAGGGAGCACTCCAACAGGACGAGGAGGTTCGTCTGGAGGTGAATGGGTCATGGCCAAGAAGCACCTGGCTACCACCTCGCTGCAGGCCATTCGGCAATATGCGCAAGCTGCACGCCAACCTGATCCTATGCGCGGGTTCGCCGCCATGATCCTGCATTTGTCCTCGGGCAACCTGGTCTTGGTATCAGTTTATCTTTGGCCAGGATTGGGAGTTTCTGGCAGAAATCGTCAGGTGCTGGTTGCGTTAGCTTCCTTCCTTCATGGGCATGCAGACCCTTGGTTGGTTATTGGCGACTGGAATATTTCACCAACTTCATTGGAAGGATCTGGGTGGCCTGATAAAATTGGGGGCACACTCATTCTACCTGCGGACGTCAGCACCACGTGCGATAAAGGGCAGGAGGGCTCCCTCATTGATTTCGAAATGGCCAAGTACGGAACATCATCCAGATACCGAGTTCGGTCGCAGCCTCAGGTCCCGTGGAAGACGCATTGTGCACTGCAGGTTGACGTCCACGATGGCATGCGCAGATGGTGGTACCAGAAACTTTTGTTACCTGAACCGTTTCCAAAGGTAGCCAGACCCAA